GAGCCAGCACCACTTCCCTAGGAAGTTGGTTCCAGCTCCTAGCCGCCCTAACTGTGAAGTAGTTCTTGCGGATGTCTAATTTAAATCTACTCTCTAATAATTTGTGTCCATTGTTCCTTGTCATGCCAGGGGGCGCTAGGGGAAACAGTGTCTCCCCTAAACCCTTCTGGTCCCCCCTAGTGAGTTTGTAGACAGTCACCAGGTTCCCCCTCAGCCTTCTCTTGTGAATGCTGAACAGGTTTAGGTCCTGCAGCCTTTCAATGTAGGGTCTGCCAAAATCAAATCCTGCCAAGCCTAAGTGTGTTCAAATTGTTCCATATTCCTAACACTTTTTTCTGATTACTTCCCCCCAACCCTGTCTTTTTGGTAGCTGCTGTGCATGCCCACTTAACTTTAAAAATTTTTTTTTTTATCTTTCAGTTCATTTATCTTAGAGCAGTTCAGCACATTAAAACAAGGCCTAAGGACTAATGTTGTTGTGACTCTACAAAGAGTAGTTTGTTCTCTGATTGTGGTTTTGGGTGCCCCCAGTTCTAGGAAGCTCTTCTAGGATTTCTTTTCTTTTGGTATATTAGCATTTCTTCTCCTGTTTCTAGTAGGAAGACTGGAGAGCTGCAGCCATTATTGTCCAGCAAATGTGCTGACAGCAAGTTTTTTTGTTTTTGTGTTTTTTGTGGTATTTTTTTATTAGACCAACTATATATTTGGTTGAGACCGTTAGACAAGCTTTGGGGCACAAAGTGCTTCAGTGTTTTATAGCAGGAGGTCCTTTTCAAATATGTGGAACTTGAAAAGTGTCTCGAAGGTGGCTATAGAAAAAACTAGAACTCTTGGTTCCAAAATGATACCTTTTTATTAGACCAGCTGGTCCAGTTCTGGTTTTTTGTACATCTTTGTCTCAGACCAACACGGCTACCAAGCACACCCTTGAAGGTGGCTAAGCTACTTGGAAATAGAGGTGCTGAGTTTGAAAATAGGGAAGCAGGAAGATGAAAAAATATTATGTTTGTTTATGTATTTGCACATAAATTTTACTCCTAACAAAAAAAAAAAAA